TGTTCATCGTCTACTGATGAAAGAGGGTTGTTCTCCAATAAAGAAAAAAGTTCTTCGTATGCGTCCCAAGATGTCAGAGAACATCATGGCTGAGGTTATGAAGCAATTCAACGCATGTTTCTTAGCTGTTACGTCCTATCCTCAGTGGGTTGCAAATGTGGTACCAGTACCTAAGAAGGATGGCAAACTGCATATGTGTATAGACTACAAGGATCTGAACAGGGAAAGCCCCAAAGATGACTTTCTACTTCTACATATTGATATTCTGGTTGACAACACCGCTCAACATAAAGTATTTTCCATCATGGATGGTTTTATCTGGTTATAACCAAATCAAGATGGCACCTGAAGACATGGAGAAGACTACTTTTGTCACACAGTGGGACACTTTCTATTACAAAGTTATGCCTTTTGGTTTGAAGAACGCCGGTGAAACATATCAGAATGTTAAGGTAGCTTTGTTCCATGACATGATCCATCACGAGATAGAGCTTTACATCAACGACATGATAGCCAGGTCTCAGACTGAAGAAGAACATCTTGACCACCTACACAAGCTATTTGAGAGACTGAAGAAGTATGAGGTGAGGTTGAATCTGAACAAGTGCATCTTTAGGGTAAGATCCGATAAACTCCTAGGTTTTGTCATCAGTGGTAAAGGTATTGAAGTTGATCCTACCAAGGTTAAAGCCTTTCAAGAAATTCCAGCTCCCCGTACTGAGAAGGAAGTAAGAGGTTTCTTGGGACGACTGAACTACATTTCCAGATTTATTTCCCATCTGACTGCAACTTGTAATCCATTATTTAAGTTGTTGAAGAAAGATCAAGTAGTGAAGTGGAACAATGATTGTCAGATAGCCTTCAAAAAAATCAAGGAGTACCTCTAGTAACCTCTAATTTTGATGCCACCGGTTGAAGGAAGGCCATTCATCATGTACCTAACAGTGTTAGAGAACTCAATCGGTGTATATTATGGCAACATGACGAGTCTAGCAAAAAGAGCATGCAATATACTACATTAGCACAAAGGTAACCGCCTGTGAAATAAGATACTCATTATTCAGTAAAACTTGACGCGCATTGGCATGGGCTGCTCGCCGACTAAGATAATATATGTTGACTCATACTACTATGTTGATCTCTAAGATGGATCCCATAAAATACATATTCGAGAAACCCGCTCTCTCAGGAAGGATAGCCTGATGGTAAATGGTCTTGACAGAATACGACATTCAGTACACTACTTAGAAGGAAATTAAAGGAAGTGTACTAGAAGATCACTTGGCTAATCAGGTGGTAGATGACTATCAATCTATGAATTTCGAGTTCCCGGATGAGAAAATCATGCTAGTTACAAATTGTGAATAACCTCTACCGTATAAAGACCTGAATCCGGATCCTGATGGAATATGGTTTTTGATGGAGCTTCCATTACACTTGGTAATGGAATTGGTGTTGTGATTATATCTCCCAAATGTTTCCATATGCCATTTACCGCTATACTTTGCTTTGGCTGTAACAACAATATGGCAGAATACGAAGTGTGCATCATGGGCATCAAAGTTGCTAACGATATGAGAATAAAGTTCTTGAATGTATACGGGGACACAACGTTGGTAATCAGACAAATTAAGGGAGAACGAGATACAAAACATCCAAACCTCATTCCTTATCGAGAGCATGTGTTGACCTTAATTCTGTAATTTTAGGAAATCACTTTTGAACATATTCCACGAGAAGAGAATCGGTTGGCAGACGCCTTGGCTACCATGTCACCTATGATAAAAGTCGTATGGGATAATGAAGCTCCTTGAAATACTATTGACAGACTAGACGAACCAGTGTATTGCTACGAAGTTTACACTGATGGAGTAGAGGAAAAGCCTTGGTACCAGGAAGTAAAAAGATACCTCGAAGCTCAACAGTACCCCGAGGGGGAATCTATCAGTGACAAGAAATTCTTAAGGAGGTGATCTTCCAAGTTCTTTCTGAGCAACAAAATTTTATACAGGCACAACCAAGATTCCGCTCTGATTCATTGTGTAGACAAGAAGGAAGCTGAGAAATTATAGAGGATATGCACGAAGGGATCTTTGGTACTCACTCTAGTGGGCACACAATGGATAAGAAGATTCTGGGAGAAGGGTATTATTGGTAGACCATGGAAACTGATTCCCATCGTCATTTAAGAACTTGTCACAAATGCTAGATTTATGCTGACAAAGCACATGTTCCTCCTCTTCCTATGAACATCATGACTACTCCTTGGCCGTTTGCAATGTGGTGAATGGATATAATTTGAGATATTAAGCCTACCGCTTCTAATGGGCATTGTTTCATCCTCGTCGCTATTGATTATTTCACCAAGTGGGTTGAGACAACCTCATTTGCCTCCGTTACCAAGAATGTTGTGGCCCAGTTCATTAAACATAACCTCATATGTCGGTATGGCATACCTGAAAGGATTATCACAGATAATGGCATCAATCTCAACAACACTATGATCACGAAACACTGTATGCAATTCAAGATTAAACACCATAATTTGTCTCCTTATCGACCGAAGATGAATGGAAAAACGGAAGCCGCCAACAAGAATATCATAAAGATCTTGCAGAAGATGACTGTGACATACAAATATTGGCATGAGATGTTACCATTTGCTCTTCACGGTTATCACACTTCAGTACGTATATCAACTGGGCAACCCCGTTCTCTCTAGTCTATAGTATGGGAGTCATCTTACCTATCGTGGTCCAGATTCCTTCCCTAAGGATTATGAAATTTGCAGGATTAGATGAAGAAAAACGGATTTAGACCCAACTTGACCAGATAAATTTGATTGACGAGAAAAGTCTTGCAGCTATTTGTCATGGTTGTAGTGGTGAAAATCGGAGATCAAGCTATTAATTAACTTGACTCACAAAAGCAAGAGTCGCCACCGCGCTTTATTATTTCCAAGGGAAAAGGGAAAAGAGCGAAATAAAACACTAAAATATGCAATGTAAAGTAATATTTAAAAGTAATGAAAATACAATGCGTTTTTAAAAGAGATCGAGAGTTCGGGGGTTTGTTATACAATGGGAAGGTATTAGCACCCAATGCATCTGCGGTACTCCGCAGGAACCTTTTGAAATATCTGTTTTTGGTTAAAATTGTTTGTTTAGTTAAATGGGTATGGATGAGATTTTGAATATACGACGACCTAGTGTTGAAGTTTTGACTTAAAAGGGGTGTGAGTTTAAAAATTGATTTGTAGGAGATTTGTCTTAAGATTAACAAAACTAAAAAAAAGTATGAAGGGATTTCACATAATCGTATTAGATACTCGATGACATGAAGTCAACAAATTAATTCTTTCCCTTGGATTTAAAGCCACAGACAGGTAAGTAAGCTAAGAGTATACCAAACCTTAGGTGAAAATAAATCACAAGTCGACAGCATCAAAAAAAACCTGATGTGAGATAATACTCCAAGCATCAGATAAAGCGCATCAAGTGAAAATAAATCACATATGAGAAAAGCGTGTCAGGAGAGGAATCAGATAAGGCGCAAAGGCGATGGATAAAGCTCACTGTATCAGATAAGAATCCCTGCATCACAAGAGATATACTGACAAATCTAACAGCACGGGGAAACTTATGTGCGTTCGCACAATTTTCAGAAGTTAGTTGGAATTAAAAAATAAAATTGCAATGCGATGAAAATAACATTTACATAACCTGAAATTATCTACAAGTAAAATATACAGTCAAAATATTATGTACAAGTATATATTTACAGTACCAAATATTAAATCAGAATACTAAAATACAATAAAAAGGTAAAAGGGAGAAGTGTAAGAATTATGGATGCGCTATGCGGGAATGAATACTTGAAGCGTTTTTTTGGAAACCTTCACAGTAAAAAACGCGTTACTAGCATAAGGGGTATAAAAATTAAAGTGAATGAAATTGCAACAATTAAAATCTATGTTAGCAATCACAAAATAAAGAAATTAAATGAAATTGTATGAATGCACATGAATATTTACACAAATAAAAATCAAGTATTCATGATATTATTCCACGTAAACACAAAAATCAGCATTGCATACATGTATTCCATCAAGTAAATTCAAAAGCAATCGCTATTTCAAAACATAACGGCAAACAAGAATCAAAAGCTCTCTTTGCAACATGAGAAATTGAATTCAAAGCATGAACCAAATAAATGATGATTACCCAAGAATTTAAATTCACAAACAAAGCCAAAGGAACTCTTGCTATAATTCAATTCCATGAAAAATCAAACATTATCAAGCATTATCAAAAGTTAGACAACACCAAATTATGCATAAAAGCTCATGAAAATCAATTTCCAAGTGATTCCAAACTTATGTACAAACAAACACTAATATTAACCAACAAATTTTTGTGAATCGAATACAAATTGAAACATCACCAAAACCACTTTTAAAATGATTTAAACAACAAAACATCATCAAGACCAACAATTCGAAATTAATCAACTCATGCCAAAATTACATTAAGCTCAAAAAGTGATGAAAATAAGTTTTGAATCAAAGTTTCAGCGAGGTATAAATTCGGACAACAACCAACACAAATTGTTAACACTCAATAAAAGCACCTCAAAAGGATTCAAAAATCATGAGAAAACCAAGTGATGCACCAACCATGTTAACCTTTCAAAATCAAATCTAATTGCACATGAACAAATGAACGTTTTTGAAGCAAAAATCAGCATGGCATTGATTAGGCGAGCTTAACAAACTAAACAAGATTAAAGCGGTTGAAAATAAATGAAACACAAGATGGCCAAGAGATATATACATCTCAATTCTTGTCAATTATTTCCTTGAGTACAAAAAAAAATGCAGCATTATTATCTCATAACAAAATCCGTACCCCATATTTTCAGCTCAATTGAGTTTCTAAATCATAAACAAGTTAATAGTCAAAATTCCCATATTTCAACAGCAAAAGAAGAAGGTTGATGATATGGTATCGATGATGCGTGACCAGTGCGAAGCGGAGTTAACAGCGGAATTTGAAAGGCAGAAGGATATGAGCTGTTGTAAATCGCAAAAGTTATTGGTGTTGAACAGAGGTTCAGTAGATGATGCAGCTTGCAATTGTATGCGGAAATTGGACAGAAGGAGCGGTAGGGAAGCAGGTTGTAGGTCGATTGTGGTGTTGTTACGGTGAAAGGGGAGAGTGGTTGTACGATGGAGATAAAGGGTGGAATTGAGGTTGGTTTGTTGGTGAATTTAAAGATGGAATGGAGTATTAATAGTGATGTGAGGAAGGTGGTGGTTTGGGTTGAAGATGAAGTGGATATGTGTGGGTGACGGTAATGGTTGTTGTTCGCGTGAGAAGGTGAGGGAGAGATAATTGTTTTTTCTGTTTGGTGTGTGTCAAAGAGAGAAGAGGGAGTGATTGAAAAGAAGGGTGGTGATGGAAATGGATGAAGGAAAAAAATGGGTTAAAAGGATTACTGTGAGTATGGCGTGGAGAGATGGGATGAATTGAAAAAAAAGATGCTGCTAGCTTGGTTTATTACTAATGCTTTTTTGTTTTTGGAGAGAGGGGAAGTGATAGCTACTGCTACTGCTTTTTATTAGTAAGTGAAAAGAGGATATAAGGTTTTAAGAGAGAAAGTGGGTTACTGCTATGCTTTTTTGTTGTGTCCCCCTTTTACAAAGAATAAAAGCCTGTTTAAATAGGAAATGAAAAGGAAAATTGTGATTTCCAATTCAATCATGATCGTTCATTATTTCTTCAATCTGTATTAATCCGTAAATGTTGTCAACAACCAATAGAAACCAAGCATAGTGTAATAAACATTATTTTGTGACTAAATAGCCCTTTTAATAATAAAAATAAAATAAAAACCTGAAAGTATTAAAATTAACTCAATTTAAAATAATTTTTTTGAATTTTTCTGAATAAAAAATAAACACCTAAAATGACTGAAAATGATAAAAACGAACGAAAATTTATCCGAAAAAATAAAATGAACACATTAAAATAAACTACATGTCACAAAGATTAAATAAAAAATATTCAAAAAGTCAAAATCAAAATAAAATGATAATAAAAATATCATGCTAAACAGACGTTTACGGTTAAAAATGAGACTTCAAACTATACCAAAAAAATAAAGCGAGCATACCGTCATAATCTACACGAAATGCAGATTCATAAAATGATCGGTAAAAGGTGAAAACTTGAAATATTTTCTCGCTAATTTTCCGCACAGTGTCGAACCGCTTTTAACAATTTCTCTATAAAACCTAAATATTTTTATTATCGACATATAAACAACTTGGAGCAATGCAAGAAAATAGTAAACAAGTAAAAATGAATGATGTGAAATGCCGGGTATTTTACAACTGAAAAACGATGCAAACTTTGATTTAAACTGACTTTTTCTGATCAACTTAAATACGACTAATGATGCAAAATGTGATGAATGAAGATATTTACTAATGATTGTGACCAAATAACAAAATATGATATGAAAGTGCGACTAAAACATATTAGGGGAGAAATTTAGGGTGCAACAGTTGTGCCTTGATGAATCAGTCTTCGAGAATCCACAATCAACCGTACTTCTGGCTTGGGAGACTCAAAACGTTAATTGAGGCGCGACACTTGATGCTCTTGATCTAGACCTTTCTATGCACGTGAAACAAAAGAAAACATGAACATACACCTTTGTATGCGGTTAGAAATTTGTGATACATAGGCTAAAAATGTTCAAAACACTTGACAATCTTCGCATAGTGAAAGCTCGAAGGTGAGAGGTTAAAACCGACCGTATTTCGTGAGCTTGACTTATCTTTAAAAATGCAAAAATAAAAATGGGATTTTAGGTCAAAAATTGGGGTACAACAGCTGCCCCTATTTAAGTTTCTTCTATCTGGAGATATGAAGATTGGGATCTTCATTTCGACGAGATTGAAGGGACTTAAATATAGAATACATAATTTTTGGCCATAAGATACCGCGATTATGTTCATGATATGATAAGAATGTAATGCTCTGAATTTTATGGGGAATGACGCCATATGAGACAGACTATACTGGAGAAACCAAGCACATTATACAGTAATCCCATAGAGGAAGAGGTTGTAACTCCACTGGGGAAACAGAGTCATAGACTTTAAATGAGAGACTCTTGAATGATTTACATCAGTGTTGAGACTGGAAAAGAAATGATTTACATCAGTACGAAGACTGGAAAAAGAAATGATTTACATCAGCACTGTGGCTGGAAAAGAAATGATTTACATCAGCATTGTGGCTGGAAAAGAAATGATTGACATCAGCACTGTGACTGGAAAAGGAAATGATAAAATGCAAACTTCCCCACGGGACTTTTCCGAAGGGATGCCATTTGCTGAGTAGACATTATTGTTGGGGATACACAAGCTGCTCAAATAAAGAAGCTGCCACTTGCTGTCTTCAAAAAAAGTGCTATGACATACAAGCTGCTTAAATAAAGAAGCTGCCACTTGCTGTCTTCAAAGAATATTAAAATACACAAGCTGCTCATGAAGAGCTGCCACTTGTTGCTTATAACCCACAAGCTGCTCATGAAGAGCTGCCACTTGCCGTCTTCAAAGAATATTAAAACACACAAGCTACTCATGAAGAGTCCGCCACTTGTTGCCAATAAACCACAAGCTGCTCATGAAGAGCTGCCACTTTCCATCTTCGAAGAATATCAAAGCACACAAGCTACTCATGAAGAGTCCGCCACTTGTTGCTTATAACCCACAAGCTTCTCATGAAGAGCTGCCACTTGCCATTTTCCAAAGAAAAATAACGTACAAGCTACCCATGAAAGGACTGCCACTTTCCGTTTTCCAAAGAAAAATAACGTACAAGCTACCCATGAAAGGACTGCCACTTGCCGTTTTTTCTAGGTGTCAATAATATACAAGTTGCCTCGGGAAGAGACTGCCGCTTGCTGTTTGTCAAGAGTATCCATAACACACAAGTTGCCTCATGAAGAGACTGCCGCTTGCTGTTTCCCAAAAAGATACCCATAAAATATCGTGAAGATATTGCTGGAGGTGAGAACCAATAATTTCATCGGGGATGGACAAACTGCTCATGAAGAGACCGCCATTTGTCATAAAGAAATCAGAAATAATCAAACTGCTCAAATAAAGAGTCAGTCGCTTGTTGTCATGTCGATATTCCAGAAGAAGGTTGTGATAACACTACTAGGGAATAAAGTTCATCTTCAATGGGAAACCGTGAATGGATTCTTCCTGAGAAGACCAAGTATTTACATTGCAAAATAAATGCACTCTCCATCTAGGTTTCACAGCCTAGAGATATCCACAGGGTATCGTTCACAAGAGACAAAGCTCAATCCAGGAATAAACTGGAGAGAAAACAGTCAAACAAGACTCCACCCAATGAGGAAACAACTCAAATGGGGATTTATCCTATCCAGAGATGGAAAAGGAAAGCTAAAGCAAGATTCTTCCACGAGAGTTAACTCGGTGGGGAATTAGAAAAGAGGCGCACTTTCTACTTAAGTTGACACTCTATTTGGAAAGATCAAATATGCTATTTGAATAGACATAACAAAGGTATACGAACTCAAAGATATCAACAAATACAAATGTGCGTGCATGATGCAAGTATGAACGAATGAATGAATGTCATGTATATGTTGACAAAACAGACATGGGAGATAGACAGAAGATGATAAGACGTCCCAGTATAACCCGACGCTCAGCTAATCTCAACAAAAGGGGAACATTACTGGAGATAAAAACAAAAGCCATCATTGGAGCAAAGTCCTTTTACAAGGCTTAAATCTCTTTGGAGAGGAAGATATTTTTCGGTAGAAAGCCCAAAGTCCAGTCTTCTATTGCAAACAATCCATTGAAAGGATAACAACACAAACAAAGTTTCAGCTGGAAAGAAGTCTTGCTTAACCGGAGATACTGGGAACGCCACCCTCTGATAATGTATGAAAAACATATCTTGACAAATCTGGATTGCCCCTGGGATTAATTTTGGATGCCCCAAGTTTACTGCTGATAAGCTGCGTGATGCACGACAATTCTTGCGAATAGCTTCACCTCTAAAATGCCCCAAGCTATATGGTTGATGAGGAGAAATTGTCTCAAGAGGATTTTACAAAAGACCTGGCATTCACCATGCTCTGGTGTCTTCAAACTCTTAGAGAGATTCATCAAATCTCTACGTGATTGCCCCGGATTGACTGTAGTCGGCACAACAAAGTCTTCGAATTTTTGCCCCAAACGAGCAAACAAGTTGGGAAAAGCATTAACAGGGAGAAGCAACATGTTCGTGCTTAAGGTCTTCATGTGACACGCCCCTGAATATGATTTTGTTCTTGAAATGATTCGCCAATTACTCAACAGAGTTTCAGGCCTTAAAAGAATAAACTTACACTGGTGCTTATGTGAGCTTCCTTGATATCAAACAAATGTTTTGCAGTTAGAAAAAGTTTACAATGAGAATGAAAATTCTAATGCAACAATTATGTAAGTCTTGAAGATTTTGAAAAGATATCGCACAAATTTTTGCGAGTTAGAGCACCATTAATTTTTGTATAGCAAAAGCATATGATACCAACATAACTATTTAGAACATTCATGGGAGTCAGGAACACTATCTCATTGAAGTATGCTTTCAAAATAACCTTGCTTCAATTAGGACTTTGAAGGTTGTAACGTGGTCTGGTTCACGGTTTTTTTTTAGAAAAAAGGTTTTTAAGGCTCAAAATTTATAAGTGCCCGCCCATTCTTCATGATGTTCTTCAGTCCTATGTTCAGTTAATTCAACATGAGTGTTCATCTCTCAAAAGGATTTTGTGACGGTCAAGGAAACGACGAGGCTTTCGGAGTAGAAACCACCCTCATGTCTTCGTGTTTGTAGTCACCAATTTGTTCTTTACTGAGGACTTTTCTTTGCAGTCCTTTTCTTTGCAATTTTTATTTTCCCTAACTTTTGCCTGAACTAATTCTTTTGAATTGATAGTCCAGCGGGATGCTTTAATTTTTCCTAAGTCACACGTTTTCATGTTTTTTTTTTGACTTAGCAGGCTTTTTCTTTTGTCTTGATTTTTGACTTTTTAAACAAAATGTGTGACATTAGCTTGTATTTGCTTGTTGAGAAGATTGTGATTGCCTCATTTCTTGATGAATGAGGGATAACATTGTGATTCCACATCTTCTGGATTCATTATACATGAAAGATAGCCCTCATAGTTTCTTTTCAGAAATATCTTCCTTATGAATTTTGAACACTCAGTCAGATTAACTGAAAATTACCCTGCCCCAGGTTAAAACTTGAG